TTTAATGCTGTAATTTTATTTTCTTGTGCGCTTTGTTAACTTTTTATTTCAAAAAATGTATTGCTGGAAATTTTTAATTTTTATTTTAAATATGAAAATGTATTGCTAGTAATTTTTTTAATATATTTTTATATTTTCATTTTTTGGCTCCAGTTTGGGAGTTTGCTATTTGGCCATAGTTGGGACCCCAACAAGTGCTACCACCCTGCTCATTCCAGTATTGATGGGGGCAGGGCCTCCTTCCTAACCTTTTATTTAAAGTAGATGTGGAATGTCAACATCTTGATGATGTCATTATTTTCTTTTCACAACATGTGCTATGCATTTTAGCTGTTGCTGCTGTTGGTAGTCCTCAAATGATGTGATTTCTATTATCTGGTTCACTTCTTTGTTTGGGTTTCTGTAGCTTCCAGTCTACAATGGTCAAATGTTTCTCCACATTCACTGTTAGTTCTCTTCCTTCCTCCTAACATTTTCTTTCATGTAGTCTGGAATGTCAACATCTTGATGATGTCATTATTTTCTCTTTGAGTTACATGTGCTATCCATTTTAGGTGTTGCCGCTGTTGAAAGTCCTCAACTGATATGGTTTCTATTATTTGGTTCAGTTCTTTGTTTGGGATTCTGTAGCACCATTCTGCAAGGTTCAAAGAAGTGTGGTCTTCACTAAGATCCCCAGTCTTCATTCGCTCAAAGTCATCTTTAACTGTTGATCCAAGAAAGCACAACAGTTTAGATATTTCTGATACGGGTGCCATAGATGGCAACCATTTCAAAGACTCGATTTGATAAAGCTATTTAAAAACATAACTTTAGTTTTCAATTTAATGTTTTGGCTTTTTTTTTTTTGTGGAGCTGGGTAAAACTACATCTAGCACAGCCTATTCTATGTTCAATTTTTATTTTCTCCGATACTAAATTTGTTATAGCTGATCCAAGGTATTTGAAGTGTTTAGTATTTACCAATTCCAAACCCTGCATTTTATGATGAATTCAGGATATGTGCCATAACTGATTGAACCAGTCCTACTCTATGGATCAGAAACTTGGACATTATCTGTTCATCTTGAAAGACGACTGGATCGCACATATACAAATCTACTTAGAAAAATCCAGAACATCAGTTGGAGAATCTATGCAATGCTTAACACAATTTACAGAGAACTGAGATCTGTCTCTCTTAAGCTCAAACAAAAGCAATTGTAGATTGCCGGACAGAGCGGATGGGGAAATAATCTCATTCTTACTTTTATGGCATCCTCCTGGAAGTTTCTTCTCACAAGAATTGATTTTCCCAGACACCATGGCTCAGGACTCAGGGTTAGACAGTTGGGATCTGGGGACGGCAGTGCAGGAAGGACTAAGCAGTGTTGAAAGGGATTGTTAATGGAGTTTTGACCAACCACAGGGTTTGGCTTGGTTTATAGCATATCAACCTCAATGGGTGATTTAATGCCAACAAGATTTTTAATGCTGGCAATATTTTTTCTTCAAAAATGTATTGTTGGCAATATTTTTCCTTCAAAAATGTATTGCTGGGATTTTTTCCTTCAAAAATGTATTGCTGGCAATATTTTTCCTTCAAAAACTTTTTGCTGGCAATACTTTTTCTTCAAAAATGTATTGCTGGCAAGATTTTTTCTTCAAAAATGTATTGCTGGCAAGATTTTTCCTTCAAAAATGTATTGCTGGCAAGATTTTTCCTTCAAAAATGTATTGCTGGCAATATTTTTCCTTCAAAAATGTAATATTTTTCCTGCAATATTTTTTCAAAAATGTATTGCTGGCAATATTTTTCCTTCAAAAATGTATTGCTGGCAATATTTTTCCTTCAAAAATGTATTGCTGGCTTTTCTTCAAAAATGTATATCTTTCTTCAAAAATGTAATATTTTTCTTCAAAAAAATATTTTCCTTCAAAATGTATTGCTGGCAATAATCAAAAATGTATTGCTGGCCTTCAAAAAATGTATTGCTGGCAATATTTTACTTTTTGCTGGCAATATCTTCAAAAATGTATTGTAATATTTTTCTTCAAAAATATTTCCTTCAAAAATGTATTGGCAATATTTTCCTTCAAAAATATTTCCTTCAAAAATGTATTGCTGGCAATTTTTTTCCTTCAAAAATGTATTGCTGGTAGTAATTTTTTCTTCAAAAATGTATTAATGGTAATTTTTTTACAAAATCATATTGCTGGTATTAAAACCTATTTTTGCACTTTCATAGTGTTTTGACCCCAGTTTGGGTGTTAACTATTTGCTCACAGCTGGGACCCTAACAGGTACTACCACCCCGAGTCAGGTTGGACCTGGAAACACCACCAATTATGAGCTGATCAGAGGCCTTGCTGCCAGATGTAGTTTAACGTTTTACCCAGGACATGGATGTAGTTTATCATCATACCCAGGATGGACCAACCACAGGGAGGTCAAAGGATAATGATGATAACATCTTTCATTTAAATTCCAGATCATAGTTTCTGTTGAAAAGGTTTGAGTTCTATTTTTTGGAACATTTGATAGAGGATGTTAATTTTCTGTTTAAGATAGGGAGCATTATTACACATAAGAAGTGATGTCGTATTGGACTTTTCCCAATAGAAGAATAAATGTTAAAATGAAAAAAATGAACAGGTAAGTGAATTAGAAAAAAAAAAAAATTCTGTTTTAATTTTTACGATGAAGAGTTATTATTTACATGTGAGCTATTGTACTCAACTTTGTTGTTGTTATTACCACGTTTCAGCCATTGTACCCTCTGGCCTTCCTCAGGTGCATATCAATCTAAAATACTTATAAGGAATTTTGAATTGAACTCTTTATTTAATCTAAGGAGATAGACTATTCTTTTTCAACTGCCCATATCTTGACTAGTTCTTATTTTTAGTACTGATCAGTTATTGCTTGCTCTGAATCCAAGTAAACACAGCTTGGGCCAGGGATTGAACTCACAATTATTGTCACCAAATTCATGAATCAATACTTTAATCTATTAGATTACTATTGATGATAATCACAGGTGACATGATATTTGGAAAGCTCTTCTTCTTTTCATTTCACACCAAACAAGGTGATAAAGCCTCTAAGATGCAGGGAGTTACTAACAGTGAACACAACAAAGAAAATGGGCAGTAAGAACAGGATACAAGGAGACAGAAGATGGTTGATGTTGCATTTAAATCCTTTAGTAGACCTTGTAAAAGATTCCAAGGTTAAATATCGGTAAGATGGCTAAACCACTGGTAGTTGTAATCTAAAATAAAAGCGAAAACAATGGCAGCTCAAATATTGCTGTGTTAAACGAAAGGTCTTGGACAAAGTCATGTTTAAGCAAAGTATCCAACATCAGGAGAGACAATGACGTCCAAAAATGAAATTATGTCACGTCAAATGAAATTCAGGTAGAAAAGAAATCAAAGAGATTTTTTCTTGTTTTTTTTACTGCTTATCAACCCTTTTGTAGGTTATTTAAAGCTGAAACATTTTTGGGATAGTAAGAATATTTTTTTTTTCTTTTTGCACATGAAAGCTGCATTAACAATCTTTTTCAATTCAAGAAACCAAAGGAAATAGGCAAGGTACCTCCCCACCAAAAAGAATTAAATTGAACGACCCATCCTTATAAATAACTAGCAGTAGAGCCCGGCGTTGCCCGGGGATGTAACAGTAAGAGATAGATCAAGTATCGACCATGATAAAGACTGAAAATAAAATTGACAAAGATTATTGTTTAGGTTAAACGGACGCCATGTCTTAATTGTTTTTTTTTTTTTTTTAATTGGTCAAGCCAAACTCAAACAAAAACATTGTTTTTCAATCGTTATGAGTCTAATGATTGAATAAATTTTATTATAAACAATTGTCTTGTAAATGGAATTTTTAAAGCATTCTGAATGTAAAAATAAAAGAAAAAAGTGTATCAAGACAATAAGAAACACTGCAAAAAAAAAAAAAAGTGAAGTTTTGTTGAAATCAGGTTGAAAATGTAGGAAATCTGATCCCATATATAAATGAACACACACACACAAACAACTTGGGTTTTTATAATAAGTATAACTCGATATGGGTTGTCCCCTTTCATTGGAGTGATGACTCTTAATTTATGTTTTCCAAATTGATTTTGTTAAAAAACAATTGTGTTTTTTCAATTTTGGCTGTCAGAACCACAAAGTATTAATTTCGTAGTCCTGTAAATTTTTGTTCCAAATCGGTTGAAAAATAAAAATCCGATCAATATATAAATGTACAGACACACACACACACACACACACAATCTGCGTTTTATAATAAGTAAGATTAAGATTTTGATTTTAGTCCTTTCACGCCAACGAAGGTGATAAAGCCACTAGGGCGTAATAAGTTACTGAGATTGAACGCAACTGAGAAAATGTCACTGAGGAGAAAGGACAGTGAGAACAGGATTCCAAGAGACAGAAGACGGTTGATGTTGCATTTAAGTTCTTTAATAGGCCTCGTAAAAGATTCCATAGTTAAATATCAGCAAGATGGTTAAACCACCATCTACCACTATTTACATTATTCGGACTATTGTCCTCATCTTTGTTGCCATATTTATTACAACGTTTCGGCCGTTGTGCACTTCAGCCTTCTTCAGATGGTGAATGTTGAATTGAACACCTGAAAGGCGGAATGTACAATGACCGAAACGTTGTGCAATAAATATGGCAAAGAGACGTTGGACAAACCCAAATATTTCAAATAAAATAATAAATTTTTTTGTTTGAAAATTGTACACTCCCATTTTTTGTTCAGGTTTTTCAATTCGACATTCCAACCATCTGGTTTTAGAAGAGTAAAAACGGCTGTTTCAAAATAAATATGGTGACAAAGATGAGGATAATAGTCTGAATCATGTAAACTCCGTTTACATAATATTCATCTCAGAAATATAGACAGACACCATCTACCAGTTAATGATAGTTATAATCTAAACTAAAAGTAAAACAATGGCAGTTCAAACTGCCATGTTAAATGAAAGGTCTTGGACAAAGTCATGTTTAAGCAAAGCATCCAAATGCAGGAATACAATGACAGCTAAAAATGAAATTCAGGTAGAAAAGCAACAAATAAGAATCTTCTTCACTCTCATACATTGTCTTGCTAGTTTTGGATCTATCTATCTTGACGATAATCACAGGTAGCCGTGCCAGAAAATTTTTCTCATCAGAATCCATCTTGCATATTTACAAAGCTACCATTTGTCTATGCATTGAATAGTGTCGTCATATCTGGTCATTTGACATTTAATATAATCAATCCAGATCTCTATATAAAGTCCTTTTTCACTGATGTGAAGTCACTTCCTGTTATGATGTTGATTTGGGGTTAAATTAGACAAACGCCAAATAACACGTAACAATAAAAAAGGGTTTTAATAGGTTGGTAAAAGGTACAGAAATAAGCCTGATAGTCAATAGTTTAGCTCAGCTAAGAACTTCTCTGTCTATCTATCTTCTCCATGTCAACTGACATTTTACTATTTAAAGTCTTTGTTCACAGACGCAGAAAGTTCATCTTCCAGAGGTTGGTATTTTTCCTGTTGAACACTTCCTTTTGTCTTTCTACAAATATTTTTCTGAAGCAACTGCTTTGTTGAGCTTAATGTCCTGGTGCCCTGACTACATGAATTTAAGCATGCTACTAGACTGGCAATTAGGTCCCAACCGCTTACTGTTGCAACAGCTAAATGCAACCATTACTTCTACTCCAACAGTTTCTTTTCTCACACTTATCGCCTGTGGAACTCCCTTCCATTTACTTGCTTCCCTGACAACTCAATCTTCAAAAATTTAAATGCAACATCTTCTTGAATCCCCTTCATCTTTTGTTTGCTCATCCTCCCTATTCTCAGTCTTCTCTTTCCCTATCTGCAATGCCCTGCATTCTAGTGGCATTACTGCCTTGCTTGGGGCGAAAAGCAAAATTTACTACGCTACTGTCCTGTGGATAGTAACATTTTTATTTTGTTTTGAATGAGATCCCACCATGGAGCAATTTGCAAATAATAACAAGCAATCTAGTTTCATTCTCACTGGATGCCTTAAAATTAAGAAGCGATGATAAAGAAAAGGAAGCTGTGGAGAGTCATAACCCCTATCTCCTGAAGTAAGCATTTTGAAAGTGCTCTACATATGCGAAGCAAGAGAATAAAAGTAGCTTATTTCTCACAAGAGATGAAATAAAGGAAAAAAACGTAGGCATTTTAAAGAAAAAGGCTGATGAAAACCAACTTACCATGATGATGATTCGAAACCTCTTTGTTAGTAATTCTTTTTTTTGTTTTGTCATTATGTCATAACTGAGAATATTTACTAAGCCACTTTGCAATCAATCTTTTAAACTCTTGAATACAATGTTGAAAACCTTTGAATTCCAGACTAGGGATTAACGATAAAGTTGCTGCAGATGAGAGAAAATAAAAGAGAAAATAAATTCATTAAAATAAAAATAATTATAATATGAATATATATATATAAAAATAAAAAAAAAGTTACTAAATAACAGTATCATAGGTACAGACTTACATACTCACTTTTTTATATATGTATACATTTGAATAGGGACCTCCACAAAAACATGATAAGGTTTTAAAACAATTTTTTGAATAATGAAAAATTTCTTGAAGCTTTTATTGAAGTTTTTAATTTCAATCTCAAGAAAATTAAATTTAATAGATGTTTGAAAACAAAATACTTTAGACTGTATTTCAAAAACTAATTAAATTGACTGGAAGAAATTTTTTTTTGTTGTTTTGATAAAAATACCATTTTTTTCATTGTCATTCACAATGTAATTCTCTTTATTAAAATCGTTCTTCCAAAAATAAAATATACTTTTTAACTTTTTTGAAATTTTGAGGAATAATATTTAATTAATCTTATTTGAAACAAAATATTACTTTTAGTTTAAAAATTGCAAAATAGGGGTGCTGTTTATTTAAGGTGTTGATAGATAAACTTTATTTTTTGTTAACGAGCTCAAAAAAATAAAAAAAAAGTTTTTTTATGGACATATTGTTATAAAATTACTAGAGGAATATAATGTGAAAATTTTTTAATATAATTTTTAATTACCCAGTAATCTTTAAGATTGAAGAAAATATTCTCCTTAATCTAATGTTTTTTGAATTTTAGATACTTTCTGTTTTTAAATTTAGTTTTAGTAATCATTTTCTGATAATGTCATGTATATGGATGTCCATATCTACAAAAATTGGCATGTTTATTTACACACAAAAAAAATTCAATTATTTTTAGAATATTGGGGTTGCTGAATTGTACTAAGATTTTCCATTTATGATTAGTAAATATAATTTTTACTTGATAACAATATCATCTAAAAGGGTAAAATTAAGGAAATTTTAAGATTTAAAAACTTATAAATTATTCTAATTAAAATTTAAAAAAATGAAAACAATTTTTGTTAAAAAAATTTATTATTCATTGAAAAATCTTTTTCTTAAGACAATAACGTCCTTAATATATCTTATTTATAAAAGCAATTACAAGCTTTTCTAATTAAATGTTATAGTTTTATTGCAATTTTTATTTTATGATTCAGAGCAGTTTTTCGGTAAATAGTGTTTCTATTTGACAAAAACAAATTGATGATTTAAATTCTCCAAGGAATCCTGCTTTTAACTAATATAAATATGAAGAGGGTGGAATTTAATTTATCAAAATTAAAAAAAAAATCAAATATAATCTCATTTATTTGTTAATAAGTCCTGAAAATTTCATTAAAATCTGAAAATTAGTTTTTTTTTTTTCCAAGAATTTCCAAAGAATGGGTTTTTATCGCAAAAAGACGCCAAATTTCCCATACTAATCTTTAGTTCCCCTGCTGATGCAAGCAAAAACAAAATTTCAAACATGCTAGAACAGATTAAGAAAATCAATAAAGTTATTGGAAAATACTTTCTTTTTAATAACATAAACATTTTGATGACAAAAAACTTTAACTTGCTCTATAAATAGGAATGAATCCATGTAAATGACACTTAATGCCACAAAAGTTTTATTTCTGAAAGTAAATTGATCAAATAGGACATTAAATATAATACAAATTTACTTTCTCTTAAGTTTAAAGAAATATTAAGTGTCATTTAGAAAAGTAAGCATATGAAAGATGTTAGGGTATTTATTGATATTTAATTATGTAGATGGAACTCATTAGCCAAAAATAGAAGTGTGTGTGTGAGAGAAAAAGAAGAGAGAAGAAATAAAACCTGATTTTAAACTTCCACTGGTTTACAACACACATAATCGTGGGGAAAAGCTTCAGGAGTGAACCCAAAGAATAAATCTAAAGTCAGTCTCAAAGGCTGTCTAATATTGAATTCAATCTTGTACTGGCAAACTCTTGCAACAGCAAAGTGATCTAAAAGTATTGGCCTCTGTCCCTAACTTGGCAAACATCAGAGGTGTGGATGGGGAGGGGCAGTGTTTCGTGGAAACTTCCAATTTCTACGGAAGATTGTTTTATTTTACTCACTGTAGAGAACACTCTAGCATTAACACAACTGCACTCAATTAGTAAAAATAGACAATTTGCTACTAGCAGCAGCATATATGAAATAAAAAAAAAAAAATCACATCCCCCAGTGTAAATTCATGGTCTCTTCAGACTGATGGATGCCACACAGCTTGAGATATATATATATATATATATATATATATATATATATATATATATATTGCTTTTTAAAAAGAAAGATTAAAACATGTATGCAAAGCGTGTACATATGTATAGTTGATTACCTGGGCAACAATCCCTCTCTAATACACATTTCAATAAAAATAATTGGCTGTGTACTTTTTTAGTATTTTATTCTATTTTTCTTGTATGTGAGCAAGAGTTTTATTTTCCTTTTTTTCTTTTTTTGACTTAGTGAGTGTAGGAATTGTTCAAATGATTGTTTGTTCCAAATATTTTCAGCTGATCTATTAGCAACTTTCAAGGATTTGGGTTGTATGCTAATAATTCATAAATTTCATCCAGTATACTGTGGCTGTGTTCATAGTTGTTGAGGGCTGATTTATTTTATATATATATATATAGATTCAAAAAAAAATTTCGCTTGAAGATGGAACAGAGCTTATTTTAACTCAATTTAATTTAAATAATTTAAATAATTATATTGAAGTTTTCGGCTCTTGTTTTGAAACATGGGACTTTTATGTCTCAATTTGGAATCATATTTTTAAATAAATAATTATATATATATATATATATATATATATATATATATATATATATATATATATATATATTGTCATCCACAGATAGACTGTTTCACTGTATCACAGCTCATCAGTGTGGCTAGACATCCAATTACTTCAAGCCTGGATCAAAACCCAAACTGATTTGGCATATATATATGTGTGTGTGTGTATATATATAAATAATATGTGTGTGTGTTTGTGTGTGTAGTCTAAAAAGTAATGGATTTTTATCTATTAATCTGACAGATTTTGTCACTTTTTAAACATTATTTTAGTAGATACTTGTATTTGAGTAGATACTCTGTTTATTTATTAAACAGTATATTTATTTTTATCTACCAACCTGGATATTCTAGAAATCTTATTAAAGAATAACTGTTTGAATCTGAGAGCACATATTTACTTTAATATAACTCCTCAAATATTCAAGCTGGTAGACAAAAATAAATAAATATAGTGTTTAAATTGATAAATGGAGTGTCTATTCAAATGCAAGTACCCACTAAAATATTTAAAGTGATTTGACATCACACACACACATATTGGGTTTCTTTTAAAATCAGTCTATAATACATAATGATGAGGTAACGATATTATCAATGGCACATTTTAATTTGCATTTAAAGACTCTATAAAGGTTTATTGTTCTACTGGTTAACATATTGGTTTATTGTTCTACTGGTTAACATATTGTTTATTGTTCTATGGTTAACATATTGTGTGAAAATTTGGAGTAATTGTTTAAAACAGGTGCAGTCTTTTTAAAAAAATAACTGTATTTTTTATTATTAGTTAATAAGTAAAAAAAAAATCTTGGCCCAAAAACAAATAAAAAGTACCAAAAATGCCTTAATACAAATATTTCCTGATTTAAACTATGAAAATAAATTATTTTACAATATCAATATATTTGATTTACTTTTTTACAAAGGATTTTTACCCCAAAAATCTTTTTTAGTCTTTGCTTTTTAATGATAACAAATGAATCTTTTTTTTTGTGTGTGTGTATATATATATATATATATATATATATATATATATATATATATATATATATATATATATATATATATATATATATATATATATATATTTATATACATACTAAACACAATCATCAGGCCATGTACATTGTTTCTGCTCGACTATTTAGGTCAGTGATGCATGGTGGGTAGTCTATGTAATGGTTGTTTTGGATGATAACAGTTTCAATTTATTCTAGGGCTTATGGGGTGGGAATAATTATGGATCCAAATGCAATTTTAGGCTATTTATGATAACTTTTTTTATTTATTAATTGATTATTTTGCAATTGGTTGTTATTACTACATTTTCTTGTGTTTATCTGTGCATATGTGGTTTGTTAATTTGTTTATTATTTACTTTATTTACTTATTTGTTTCAGTTCATTTATTTTACTTGTTTTTGTTTATTTATTTATTTTCATTTATTCTTGTACCATTTTCATCAAATGGTGCGATGGGTAAATTGTCACCATTTATATTTTTAATTTTCTACATGTGCATTGTTTGTTTTTGATTTTGTCAACTTCACAGTAGGGTCAGTTGGGCACCATCTGTGAGGAAAAGAGCACCATGATGCAATTTGCTCTGCCAGGAATTTGGAAACAGCATGCTGTACTGCTTGAAATTTATTCTGGAAGCTTCAATACAAACATTTCAGAGTATTTGGGTGTTAAGCTGAGGACAGTACAAAGGATTCAGAAAGAGCTGGATGAGTCTGATGGTGACTACAAAAGGATAGAAGCTTGGAAAAGTCACTCTGTTCTGATAAGAAAAGAGCTCTTGAATTTGTTGGTGACAACAAATAGGCCTACATCAAGTGCCTTGAGGAAGTAGTGCTGCTCTGGGTCAACAGGGTGGCTGCTGGAAGACCCTATATCTGGCAACAGGACTCTGCACCATGCTGCACATGCAGGAGAATCCAGTCATGGTTGTCAAACAATTTCTGTGACCACATCACCCCTTACATCTGGCCACCTAATTCCCCAGA